CAGGTTACATAACCATTTCCAAAAGTCAGTTATGATACCACATCTGGGTTCATATAGTACATGTTCTCAAAACTCCAGGCTCTCAGCAGTTTATTGTCATAACAGATCCTTGAGGCCAGAAGAAGCAAGTGTTAGTCTACCAGATGTAGAGTCTGGAAGAACAAGAGATTTCTGCAGTTTGGTCAAAGTCATAGAGTTAGCAGCAAAACCCAAACCCCAATATCTGTATTCATTAACAATGGCTACCACTCACCAAATTCACATTGCCTCTAATTCTTTAAATAATAAATACAGTAGTGTGTATAAGAAAAACCAGGAATGATGCAGCTGCCTTTGCTGACTTCTCCCAGTGTGCTGTCTCTAATGGCCATGACCTTACCAAGGCTTAGCTGGCACAGTTGCTTTGCTTGGGACCATAGAATAAGATGATAAAGCAGATACCATGAAATGCCATTCTTTTCTAGTCTGAAAGTCCAGAATTTTCCTTCAAGCCACTGCAATAAAACAATTCTGAAATCCAAGACAGAGTATAGGGAACATTTTTGCCCCAATATATGAATGGTGGCAGCCTTTTATGGTAGTTGTAAGGATTGAATGAATGAATTCACAGAATGTGCTCTAGACCAGTTTTGGCATCAAGTCAGAGTTCAGTAGACCATGATGATGGTGGTGGTGGAGGAAAAGATGATGATGAATGAAATCGTTGGAAAAGCATTTGACATATTGAACATTTCTCATTTGGTTTGATTCCATCAAACGAACCACACACTCATATTCTTGTACCAAAATAACCATCCTTCTCTTCTTCACCAGGCATTATTTATTCACAGACAGATATAATCATTCAAAAACACGAATACACAATTACCTAATGGAGGATTCCCCCATTAAGCCAACTTCTGGGGACAATCAAGGAATATGAGACATGACCCTTGCCCCTAATTCCATGTTCCAGTGTAGGTGGAAAGGGCAAAATAAAATGGCAAGTGAAGAAATTATTTAAATAATTTTATCCAGGACCTTGTCAACAGTGGATGTGCGGAAATATTTGTCAAATAAATATGTACTAAACCACTGATACAGGAGGAGAATTTGAAATGGCATAGGCCCAGGGCATAGGAAAGGAATTTACAGGAGTGAATGGTCAGTGAAAATTGAGATAACTGGATTGGGCAATTAGCTGATTTACCGGTAAACTTCAAGACCGTAGATAAAAGCAAGTCAATGTGACAACTGTACTTGTACAAGGGTGCTCATGGAACACAGCTCATGCCTGAAGCTGACTCTATGTTCCTTTAGCAGGTGCTTCCCCTGTGGGCCTCCGCCTGCTCCCCAGAACACTTCCCCAAGGCAAACTTACCTCTTCTCTTTATTTTGACCATTTAAATGGCTCACCATGTTGATTTCAGAGTACTTCTTTTAGAAATTCTTTTTCTCTGCCTCCATCTATAAATTCTCCCAACTAAAATCACTTTAGTAGCCACTTCAAGGTTTTAATACATAGTCATAAAAATTGTCATGATATGGAACACTAAAATGACTATAGCAAGTGTGTGGTAATTATATTTCATTGCAATTCTTAGTATGCTTGCCACTAAGAAGACCTTTTAAGCCTCTAGCTAAGTACTTTATCTAATAGGGTCCTGGCAGAGAAAATAATTGACATTTTTGTAAATGGCTATTGCTTTATCCACATATGTTTGTAGCTCTATGTATATTTGTAGTGTGTATGGGTATACATATATGTATGTATATTTGATTTGTAAGATAAATCTTTTGCTTCATAGATAGGACCAGTGTGGTTAAATTCACTCTTCAGGAAGGAAGTACTCTTTCCCTTCATCTTTATCCCACAGAAACTCAACAAGGGAAAATGGATTGGACTCCAAATAGACTAAGTTACTAAAAATTCTGTCTATACCTCTATACCTCCAGGAATCTACTTGTACCATCAGCTCTTCTGGGCCAACCCCCCCTCCCACAAAAAAAAAAAAACAACAGATTTTTAAACGTGCTGTGGCTATGAAAGTATAGAAAGGTTTTGCTCTAATTCCTGTGATTTAAAAAAGTAGTACTTGGCCAAGCATGGTGGCATATGCCTATAATCCCAACTGTAGAAGGCTGAGTCAGAGGATCAGTTGAACCCAAGACCTTGTCTTACAAATAAAATTTATATTTATACCAAAGTTGATGTCAATTGGAACCACAAACAGACCTAAGGCCATTCATTTTCGAGAGTGAAATTGGCCACGTTCGTCTGTGTGGTAGACAGTAGAGCACTTCTTAAACTTTTACATGGCTGTGAATTGTGAGTTCACAAGTCACATCTTTTTCTACAACAGGCAGTAAGCAGTCACCTCTGTTTTTAAATGCTGGAGGTAGAGCTTGCCCGGGTGAGTGGATAAGTTCTAAACCATCTACAATTAAGGTAGATGTAGACATAAACAGAAACACTCAGGCACTACTATTCCCAGATTTTGGGAACTTTGAAGAAGTTGTCTATTTCAGCAACACTTTTCACCAGTGAGAATTCTATATGGGATGTAGTGACTTCTTAGTGGAGTTGTCTTTCAACTTCTGAGAACATTTCTCAGAACACCTTCTTAAGATAATTGGAAAATCTATGCATGTCACAAAACCAGGCCTGGAAATCGTGACCTCTACATTCAATAGCAGAACCCTGGAAAAGGTCACATGCCATTTGCAGCCACATCTGTGTCACTTGTCAGCGAACTGTGGAGAGGGAGCAAGGAAAGTGTTGCTCTTCAACAAGGCATGTCCCGACGGATGAGTGCGCTGATTCTGTTTATCTGTGCAGCTCGAGTCATTTCTGACCCAGTTACATCAACACCTTTCCAGACACACCTTTCTTTGTACACAGCACTCCCACAAATGCCTACATCCTTGTCAAACTCATATGTCTGAGCTATTTAGATCCAATTATAACCCTTCTGCCTTCCCCCACGGACTCTAGCTGCAAAGAGGTCCAGGAAGCAGTCACTATGGTGAAGCAGTCGCTATGGTAAAGTAGTGACTTTAATCCCTGGCTATACATTATAATCACTTGGGGGGGCTTCTGAAAATCCCAGTGTCCAGCCAAGTTTGAGGCACTCATGTGACATAACTCCTTTGTGCCTAAACAAGTAGCCTTCACTTTTTTGTTTGTTTGTTTGTTTTTGAGATGGGATCTTTCTGTGGGGTCCTCTCTGGCTTCTAACTTGAGATCCTCTTGCCTCCATCTCTTGAGTGCTGGAATTTCAGTTGTGCACCACCATGTCTGGCTGACTTCACATTTTCTTCTCTTTTCTTTCTGTTAAATCGTCTCCAACTTCATCCTTTGACTATTCTTGTTTGTGTTGCTTTTTCAAAGCTTGGTCAGTAGTTAATTGCCTGTGTCTTGAGCTCCTGTTTCTTTGGGTGAAGATGTTGAACAGTCAAGACATTCTAGGAAAGCACCAAAAGAAGATCATAACTTACTATGGCTTGAAATAAACAAGTCCTATAACACCAGACAGGTAGAGGGCTAAAGTGAAATCATAAAGTGAGCTCTGTTTATCTGGGATTTGGGAATTTCACAGTAGAAGCCAAAAAGTAGCTGATAATTTTAATACATATTGAAGACATGCAACTCCCTTAACAGATAATGATGGTGGCTTAACAAATAATGATGGTGATCCTTAAACAGTGGTGCTGTATCTCTAGCTCACTATGAATGTTTCTGTGCCATTTTGTTCACAAATTTCCTTTGTCTTCTGACGAAGCCACCTGGGATCCATGGGCAAACTTTACCTTGCATTTGGAGACTTTATATCCAAGATGTTACCCAAAGTATGGTATTGGCACAACAGGTGGGTAGGAGATCCTTTTCAATGTTGCATAAACGAACATGCACCATTTTGTTAAAAACACGTGATGTAATAAACACACCATTTTACAGTGCAAACATCATTGCGTTGTCCACACTTTAAAAATGTGTGCATTTAAAGAAAAGTATCAATACATAGTAATACCCAGGTGATACTCAGATATGGAAGGAGGAAGAAGATACAAGTTTGACATCACTACAGTTTGTCAGCTTGTACCTTGTTGTATCGATGTGACCACTTCAAATTAAGGCCAGTATTCTTCCTGCCTCCCAAATTAATACATTAGGGAGGAAAAGGGAAGGGAAATAAAAAGTAAAAGAGGTTTTTTGGGTCTTTAATGTGGTGGTGCCTCCTAGGGTGAAGCGCTAGTATTTCAACCCAGGAACCCTGAGGAGACACCCAGCCCTGATGCAGCATCCCACTTCTTTGGAGGGGAACCTGCAGCCTTCACAGCAGGTGTGGTTGAAGTCTCAAAGTAAAAACCGCAGTGTGAGCTCCCCCATGTGTCTGCTGGGAACGGGGTGTCTTCCCCTGGGAGTGTGCTCACACACTGCAGCACGTGCAGAGCTCCTAGAAGGACAAGACGGAACAAACCTGACAAGGGTACAAAGTCTGGAGTATGAGAGTGTTCACTCGGCCTGTGATGGACTCATGAAACTCATCTCTGTCTTTCTCATGTGCCACTCTGCCTTGGCTAGCATTAGAAATTCAGGGGCAGAGAACAAAGCAGCCAAGTTTGTTTTTCCAGGGCTGGGGCTGGAGGTGGGGAGGTAGGGGGAGGAGTTTCTGGTGCAAAGTGCCCTGACAGCTGTGCCCTGTGTCTTAGGGAACTAAGGACTTTTCCATGTTCCATTCAGGACTGTTTAGTCTGGGTGCTGAGGATTCATAGGTCAGTTTGGGGCTCCAGAGTCATTGAGGTAGTTCTGATTTCCAGTGATTCCATTGTCATCTCTGTTGCCTGCAGTGAAAGAAACAACTGAGAGTGAAGCTATCGCAGGTCACTTAAAACCTTGTCTTTCTTCATTCATGCTCTGTAATGATATTGCCAGTGCTTCTAAAAAAAACTAAGGCTGAACTCCTTAACAAATAACACCTGGACCCAAATCGTGACTGCTTTCCTGTTGGCTTCTATAGAAGTGGCAGTGCATTGAGGACACATCGGGCAAGCTTCGAATTCACAAGTGCAAAGGACCCAGCGACATGCTCACCGTCCGGCAGAGCAACCTCTACTCTCGAGGCTTCCATGACAAGGACAGAGAGTGCAATTGCAGGGAGTCTGGTTATCGCCCCAGCCGAAGCCAGAGGAAGAGTCAAAGGCAGTTCCTGAGAAACCAGGGGACTCCAAGTAAGCCATTCTCTTGTGACCAGCCCTTTCCACAGTGGAGATACTACCAATATAGAGTTTTCCAGCAAAAAAGCAAATCATTGTTTTGTTTAAAATGAGAAAGCTAAGATTAATTTGAAGTTTTACTTTGTAAATGTTTTCACCTAAGCATAGAATGAAAATACATTTAGTAAAAGCACCAGATGCAAAACATATGCACATATTAAAGAGCTCTAAAATAGCTATTCCAAAGGGTAAAGTGTATAGTTTAGGTCTGTTTTATTTTACCTTCAAGTTAATTAATGTCTTGATTTATCTGTCTAAATCACTCTTTAAAAAATTAATCCAAGGTATCATGTGAGTGCATTTAATTTAAGATGAAAAGCATAAGCACCTTTTAAAAGTCATGTTTTAATCTGATTTAGAACAATGCATGTGTATATCTTAATTTTGTCAGACAACTGAATCTTGTTGATTGGCAGGGTCAAACTAGTCAAATTCAATATGAAATGCACTGCCTAGCATTTTCTTCATACAAACTACCCGGCAGCCTTGAGATACAAGATACCTATGGTTGTCTAAATGTGAGAGTCAGCAGACACCTTCCACTGAAAATGAGTCTAGTGCCATCTGGTGGAATAATACAAAAACTGGCCCAATTTGTGGGGTGATTGTTCGATAAGCTTTTGGAAATAAGTGACATACATTACATTAAATTCCAAGACTTGGAGACTAAACCATCTAAGAGAATCATGGGAGTCCTTAGAACAGATATTTTTATGCTGGACAAGATGGTCTTTAGGGTCATGGATCCCTGGTGTTTCATCCAAAGTTGAGTACATTCTTTGAGTATATGCACATTTTTTTCTCAAAGTTAGTAACATTCAACAAATTTGTAAAGGAGTCCATAACCCAAAAGAGTAAGACCCACTGATTCAGAAAATATTCTTTCTTCCTGAGAGAAAATCCCAGTTTAAATTATTCGTGCAAGAATATCAAATTTAAAATCAACAAGGACAAGGTCCCTTGACATTCTCCTTGAATAAAAGTGATTTATGAAAGTTCAGCTTAGAAGTAGGGGGTGCCCTCTTTTCTAGAATGTTAGACATCTCTTTCCAGCACTAATCATAAAACACATGAATTTTTCAGTGTTTGGCACAAACAGAAGTCTAGGACAGCTTTTTCAAACAGTGTAGAATCTTGTACATTTGGGAGCAGGAAAGGTTTCCTCTTTTTGGTCATGATGGAACTTATGGAAATGACCGTTGCCACTGTCACGGAGGCCACTCCTTCATCTGCAAACTGCAGGGTCCTATGGAGAAACTGTCACAGAGCCTGACAATTCTAATTCCCTTGCTCATGTGCACCTCTTTTCTGATTTTAGCAGCAGGCTAAATATGAGCTATGGCTGGATAACTACCTCCACAGCGTGTCTGGTAAATACATGCCAATTTTTGCACATTGACGTTCTTATCAAGGACCTGACCAGCACTTGACAATGTTCCATGCTCACCAGAAAGCATCTGGCCTTACCTCTACCTGCCAGGTGTGAAAAGTCACTTGGCAAATGCAAACATTCAAAATAATGTAATTTTTCTTACCACGATCCTCTATATTTGTGCAATAGAAATTGTCTAGAGCATTCACCTTTTTGAAAAAGCAGCCTAATGGCATGGTGGACTATAGTCAGAGAAATTCCAGTCCTAAATCCTGTAACCTTGCAAAATGCATTTTAATATAGAAAACTTCAATTGTCTTATTCATAGGATAAAGACAGTACCACCAGATTCAAGAGCCTGTTTTGACAATCTGTT